AATCTTTGAAACATCCAACGACATTTTTTTAGAATTTACAATCGTAAATAGTATTGTTTGTTATTTTTCGGATATTCGCGCAAAGCTACGTTAGCTGTCTTTGATTTTGAACTGATAGATTAGAAGGAATGCAGCTTAGTTAAGAACATCCACCACAACTGCTGAACTTCTATACAGCGTAATTAAAAACACCCACCACAACTGCTGAACTTCTATACAGCGTAATTAAAAACACCCACCATAACTGCTGAACTTCTATACAGCGTAATTAAAAACACCCACCACAACTGCTGAACTTCTATACAGCGTAATTAAAAACACCCACCATAACTGCTGAACTTCTATACAGCGTAATTAAAAACACCCACCACAACTGCTGAACTTCTATACAGCGTAATTAAAAACACCCACCACAACTGCTGAACTTCTATCTTTACATAGCACCTTTCCCTTGGCTTTAGTAACCACTATACAGTAGAGGATGCTGGGAAAAGTAATGCAACTACTGAAGACAGTCGACTTACTTATTGACTAACATAATGATTCTATTTGCAGATTTTTGTATGTAGAACATGACAATCTTATCAGAAAAGTTCAGATATCAGCAATACACTTGTTTAAATAAAACGGTCTGTTTAGCAGTTTTATTAAATCAATTTCCAGTTGATTACGTAGATTAATTTAATGCATAAAAACTTCAAACAATTCACAATTCAAGAACTTTAAACTTGTTACAGTCAAAATATTCCTTATAAAACAATGAATAATCTAGTTACAATCATGCACCATCCATTCAAAATCAAACAGACCTACCTATGTCTCTCTATTATATGCACCAGCTTCTGACTTTACACTGTTCCTGCGTTTTTTGACAATTTTTAAGCAACTAAATTTTCATGTTTAAAAATTGCTATGTAGTATACGGTAATTTTTACATAATAGTGTTTTCCCATTATTTTTGAATTTGCAGTATGGTACTATTAAGCAGTAACTGAGTAACTATGAAAAATACCGCAACAATTTACAATGTAATCTAAGTATTGAAACGCAACAGAAACTTTGAAATGCAATCTGTTTTATTTTATTTGTTCATTAGAGTACCACAAAAGTTTGGTAAAAGTGATAATACATACTTAGGTATAAACGCTGGTAGTTTAAATTCATAAAAAAACGACGAATGCTTGCTTCCTGGTATGCCGCTTAATCATATTCTACACATGTTTTCGATCGTTGAGATAATGGGAATTTGATCAGTTCATTTTTGTGAGATTACAATTCAATTATTGTAAATGTAATGCACACGAAACTACTTAGTGGTTAAGGTATTGTTTTTGATTTTGCATAACCCATGTGAGGTGAAATTAAATTTTACAGTACTTCGACTCTTTTTTTTTTAATATCTATAAATTTATGTTCTGTATTTTTAACTAAAAGGATTGACCAAAACAAAATGTTTTAAGATTTTTAATATTTCTCTTGACGTACAAAGTTATAACATAAAAGTTAGGTCTCAAATGTTCCTAACGCACAAAGCTATAATGTGACAATAAGAAACCCAATGTACCTATTATAAAGTTGTGAGGTTAAAGGGAGGATCCCAAATGTGACTAACGCACAAAACTATGATGTAAAAATAAAGAACCCAACGAGCTTAATGCTTGTGATGTATAAGTAAGGACCCCAATGTTCTTAACATACAAAGCTATGGTGTGAACATCCATTAGAATTCATAAATTTAGTGTTTAGATGTGAAATCGATGCATTAATAAACATAACACGTACGTAAAAGTTATACGAAAATTACTTCCGTGAGTAACATTTAATGGTGAAAACAATAGCACCCTCCGCCCTCCTTTTCTAATGTGTCCATTGTAATAGTGGATTATACTTTGTCTCGTTTTTCCAGAGCTTTAATAAAAAATATTCTTGCAAGAAAAAACAGTTTTGAATTAAAGATTTGATACATTTGCATCACTAAAACCAAACGATCAGGGAAGGAGAAAACTAAGATTCTAAAGTTAGGAATAGGAGGGGAAAATGTAATGTTTTTAACGTTTTTTTTAATAAAACGCACTGTGTGAGTTTCTATAGCTTTCTGTAAGAAACATGTCGGGTTAGGAATTACGTAATATGATCATGTTGACAGAATGTTTTCATTGAACAAACGTAGAGAAAAAAAAAATATTATTAATTTTCAGCTGTTTGATAATACTTTCATAAAGTATGATAGACCAATAATCCAAGTTGGAGTATTAACTTCTCAATCTCTAAACATAATCTAAAAATCAATATGAACGTTTTGAACAAAAGATTGTGCGGATCTCAATAGCATCTTTTATATCTTCTGTTGTCCAAATTACAAAATACAAGTTTTAAAATCTTATTAATCTGAAATACCTCGAGAACAGAAATTTCATCTCGTCGAAAGAAAAGGTTAAGCTTGATGTAATTTTAAAGGTTCTAGATGAAATAATTAACTTCTTTGAAAAGAATATGAGCATGTCAATATTTTTTAACAATGATATTTCACTGATATTTAGGTATCAAATCACTTTTTTTTAATACTGCTGTCTTCATTCTGATATAATAACTTTTAAGATACAACTACGGTTGTTTAACTTTTACTAACTTAAAAATATATTCTGTAAGTATATGGACATATCTATATAAATATAATAGTACTGCCTGTTGTATGTACATGTAACTACTTCACAGGATGTGGATGTATTTTCACCAAAAATGGTATGGAGGCTCATCAGGTTCATGCGGGGTACATACAAATTTTCAGTTTTCCGGTTTTTATGGGCGTTTTTTACCACTACCCCAGTTTTGTATTTTGCGGATATTATGGACGTTCTTGCGTTTTTTGGATATTCATCAAATTTGGCATAAAGGTTTTTGTTGGGTCCATGCGGAGAAACATGCAAAGTTGCGGTTTCACATTTTGGGTTTTGCAGTTTTTATTGGCGTTTTGCGTTTTTACAATTACATATAAGAGAAGCAACTTTTCATATCCTACTATCATGTCCATCATAATCTTAATCATGAATTTACACATCTTCCGTCCAGGGGACGGATACTCCAGCTAGTTTTAGAATATACTAGCCCACCCATGACCCCTTGGGTCACCCACTATTCAGAGGTTATGAAGAATTTAAGCTAATTTCAATATTGCACCGAAATGAAGGTTTATTTTGAGATAATTTGATAAATATTTCAATCCATTCGCGTTATTCATAATTCAAGAAAATATATTTGATTGTTGATCGGGAGTAAAGGAAAGACCATTTCATTTTTCAAAAAAGTGAAGTAAGAAGTTTCGTAAAGAGCACAAACGGTAGTGTGAATGATTTTTGACTGAGAAAATAAACAAACAATCTCAGGGTTTTAGTAGTATATAGATAGATTATTCAATATCTTGTTTTTGTCATCTTACACCTTTTAATGAAGATGGGAACATTGACAGGGAAATAATATAATAGCCAATGCTCGGCGAGAGGTTTTCGTTTATAAAATTTTGTTGTTGTTCTCGACTTGATTTTTATTTTATAACCTAGTCTCCATAGTTACTATTTTCAAATTGTCAATAATATTGTGGGTCCATTTTATTGTTGTTCTTTCTATATACCGTTATAACACATTTTCATCTCATCATTTAATTTCTGTTGTGCATATATTGTTGTATAGAAGATATTTTAAAGTGATTCATCAGGTGGAAAACGAAGTTTTATAATAATGGAATGTACCAAAAGTGACCCGAAAAACGGAGCTAACTCGGTAACCCTTGGCCCGATTTTAACGAAACTTGTTTTATTCTGTTTCTATTCTCATTTCATTACAAATATAACTGTATTGTGCGCCGTTTTTGCTGTATTTGATTACAGACAAGGATACAAACAAACAATCTCAGAGTTTTAGTAGTATATAGATAACCGGGTGCGGGAACTGGAAGTGTGAAAATATCCCAGTACAGGGGTCCTGCGCACCTGCTGTTTTATTAGTGTTTTAACACGACAATAGCAACAGAATATATTTCTCCCATCATAGAAAGGTTTTACAGTTTTGTTAAATGGCTTTCGGCACCTCCATTTTAAAAGGTGTATTAACGCCGCTGGTACTAAATAACACAATGATAGTATATATTTAAGTATTACGGTATAAACGTCGAAAGCTGGCGAAACATTAGAAACCAATAAGGAAATGGACGAAATAAGAGGAATGTGGGGGGGGGGGACATTGCAGTTTACGTGATTTATCACACGTATTAGGTATATTTAACTATTCTTATTACTGGGTTGATTTTTAGTTATATGTTGGTAGTGTGCTTTGATCAGAAGTTAATAGCAATCATCCCTAAGAAGTAATTTATAAAGGTATTATCTTGTGAAAATAATTCAACGTTTAGCCCATGTAACGATAAAAGAATTATTTTCCTCTTCAATTAACGTTTCTACAAACTTTAATTCTCGTTAACTTCTGAAACTTGATGTTGGTCTATGTTACAGATGACATTAACTAACATAAAACAAATACTTTTACAAAGAAATCGCAATAGCTACTGTTCTATCCAGAGATCACTCTACACTCTTTCACTAATCTCGTATATGTAATTACTTCTGAATATACCAGGAAATTTTTTGTGTTCTAGGCCTATCTTATTAACCTTTTCATCTCAACGTCATCATTAAAACCTGCAGCACCCTTTAGTCAACATTTAAATTACAACATTAAAAACAATTTATAACAGCATTGTTTTGCTTAATCATTAAAACGTTATGGCATGTCTGGTAGGTACACTATATTTTTTAAAACTATTCTAAGCTTGTCTTTTAAAAAAAGTATAAAACGTAGATATTAGAGTCCCAGCTTTCTCCCAACACAATTTTCTCTGTAATATCATCTATTTGTGAGGCGTACAAATGCCAGTATTTGTCAAATAATGAAAACATGTTTTTGAATTTTTACATAATACCTATCCTTCCATATCCACCTAATTACAGGTACCACTACAAAAAATATACTCAGTGGACAACAAAATGCGATGGAGATATAATGGAGCGGTGTGAATTAACGAAGGACTAGTTCAGGTAAACTGACGAGTCATTTTAAAAGTACCTCACATCCAGTCATCTTTTAGACTTATTCTAGAATGTAATACCTTTCCCCTTCCTAATAGAAGCACAGATTGTTATACTAACATTTCAGTAATTCAATCTCGAAAACCTACATTGTAGTACGAAAATCACATCCATTGTCTCGTGCATTTACGCTGAATATTTGCATGGTTCTAACATTGAGGCCGATGTGAATGTAAGCATCGACACTGGGAACATATGTGAGTAGGCGAATGGAAATAAATAATCTATAAAACCTCCACTTAAAACAAACTGCTTATAAGTGTAATAATGATAATAATAAAAGACATTTACCTTTAAACATGAGGAGAGGTCTTTGTAGGTATATATCCGATCTTTTACAAAAGATGTGAATGCCTACAACATTGTTATTATGTAAATCTATATGACAAGTTCTTTGTTAGCTTTCTTAACTTCCAGAGATAACCCTAATTCCTATTAGTGTTACTACAGCTAGTTTTTGCGAATACAGATCTTGCTTCATAAAGCATGATCATGTAATTTGTCAGGTTCTACGTGCACTAGAGGGACCATAATTAACATGTTAGAAGTGCTGTGATGCGTTTCAACCTCCAAACAATTACGGGTTAGTCTTATAAATATATAAATCAAGAAAAAGGAAATAAAAAATAATTACTTTTGTAATTGAATTAAATGAAAAGATTAACAAGAGCCACAATTGAAATTCTCAGTAGAAATAAGAATCATGGCCTTGAAATAATTTTTCATTGCGTTTTTTATAAAAGTTAATCATGGCCATAACTAAAATCATCTGTAGAAATAAGAATCATGGCCTCCGATTTAATTTTTCATTGCATCAAAATACAAAATAGATTTTTTTATTTCCAATATTTCTTCATTTCCATCATTCTTCTCCAAAGCAAGAATAATTTTTGGGTTTATCCAGGCAAAGTCCACATTCATAAATCTATTATTATAAAAGATTAATGATTTATTACATTGTAACTGCAAAGTAATAAATCTATGAACTTTGTATTAAGTAATATAAAATACATACTTTATTACATTAAATATCTGATAACTTCATTCTGCTATAAATACCTAATAATCGTTATATTATTGAAATAGAAAAAAATTCTGTTATTAATTAGAAATTGCTGTTAATCCATGAAAAATATGATATAGACTTATTGTTCAATTTTTCCACTAACAACAACAACAAAAAGTGCATGTTCACGTATGGCCTATAATAAAAGCTCCATTACTTCATAGGTTCATTGCTCCAAAGGTCCAGTAGGATTTTAAAAGTTGGTCTAATTTCCATAATGACCTGTAAGTGTACAGTAGAAATAGTTCAGTCCCATATTCATTTTCATTTTAGGACCTTCATTTCTAAATTATTTTAATCTTTTCAGTGACAGAAACTGAACTGTTGAGGGTATCAGTAATGTTGTTCATGTGTCATTGTTTCTCTTTCCTAGAATTGAGCCATAACTGGGTGTTGAGCAGAGGATAACTTTTAGGATTGTTAAAATATGAAACATAGTTTCAGACTTTTTAAAAAAAAAGCAGATAAATGAGAATTTGTATTTAAACATTTGGACAACTTTCAGTAAAACATTGATTAATGTTTTCACTGAAAAATCTAACAAGGGAACCCATTTCCAATACCCAGTTCTGTATTGAGAGTCTGATGGTATGTTAGTTCACATAATCTAATATTATATACTCTTGCAAGGTAATATTGAGAGCAATATAAGTACATGTTTTGCTTGGGATGTTGGAGGGAGAGGGCATTTAAATTTGAATACACATTATTTTGGTTACATGTAACTACATTCAGACCAAAGATAACTGTTAGTGCAATTTTAATTTAGCACATTCTGCTTTGAAAAAATGTAATCTATTCTTAGCACTTATTTTAAGAATGGTCACATTTTATGAACATGTTTTGATTAAATTGAAACCTCTCGTATATTTACTAATTTTAGTGAGTAGGTGAAATTCAAACCTTTTGATTAATTATTAATTACTTTAATGTTGTATTAATTAGAATTTAACTTTTATTATGGAGAGGTATATATAAGAAAGAAGACTTAGAAAAATATAAATATGCCAATAATTACCGATGCTTTTCCTACTCTTCAGTGTCACAAGTAGACATATCAAAACCCACTGCAAAGTTAAAGTCTAATGCAGGTGCTAAACAATAATGAACTACATTCTATATGAAAAATATTTAATAACATGTCAAGTTAAACTGAGGCTTTTTCTTTCAGATGTAAACACCAGTTTATAAAGAAAGTTATGAACTGGCAAGAAAAAACTATTTACTGATGAACAACCACTTAATTTTTGTTGTTGAAAAAAATTTGCATAAAACATATCAAGTTGTTGTTTTATTGCATAACTCATAATAATATACTTTTTTTTCTACAGTTTAAAATGCTGGACGAAAATAAACTGAAATCCATTTATTGATGAGAAAACTTTCCTTTTGATTGTTTCTGAAAATATACCAGTTACTGCTTGTGCTCTGGTTTGCAAACAGTTTGACAGTACTTGAAATAACTAAAATTAATTGTGTTGAATTTCTTACTCAAAAAAAAGAAAAACTATCAAATTAATTTTTACAATGTATTATATATAGTCACTTTGTTTTTATCTAGGTTAACCTAAAATTGGTTTTCTGTGACACTGAATTTGTGCATTAAGCTGCACACATTCTTACAACAGAGGAATAATAAAAGTATAAACTTCAAATGTAAACTGTTAGTATTGTACATTAATGGGATACAATGTATTGAAAAAATCTGGTAGGAAGTCATTGCAGAAAAACACTTTAACTACTACAACTGAAAATTAACATCAACAGGTGTATAATATAATGTATGGTGTAAACTGACTACAAAACATCAGTACATCACTACTTTTTTAGAATATTACATCAACAAGTATATCAGAAATGTAGAGTGTAAAAATGTACAGAATGTCAGAATATCACTGTCAGTACATTAACAGGTGTATCATAATTTATGGTGTAAACTGGCAACAAAATGTCAGTACATTACTGCTTTTTTTTAATGTACTATGTATGAACAAATGTTTTGAAAAACCTATTGGGTGAAACATTTCTCAACAGTTTGAAAACCATGGAAGCAGTAAATGAAGAAACAGAAACTGAAATGAACACAGAAAAGAAGATATCTGGAGCAGGATGGAAAAATCTTGAGAAAGATATTTCTGAAATTGTGAAGAATGCTATTGAACTAGCAGTAGAAGTTATAGTTCAGAGGGAACAAGTGCAAGAATTCAGGGTAAATATAATTTACTTTAGTCTAAAAACATGAACATGATTAAAACAGGTTTGAGAAAAGGAAAAAGTGTTCAATATTTCTATAAAATGATGTTCATTGAGACCAGTGACAGATGTAATGGTGAAGTATTATAGCATACCCTTCTTCCCTCGATAAGGTGTCAGTGAAAGTAATTCAAATGCACTGTAAGTAACATATCCTTTGTCCTTGTAATAGTTTCCGTAGATGATCGTGATGAAAATGTAAAAACAGCAATCTTATTCTATGTCTCAGGTCAAGGTAAAGTCTGGCCAACACCATAACTACAATTTCTTTCTAGTACAGCAAGTTTAAACTTTCTAGTATTGATATAATTCTGGACTTTTGTCACCAGTAGTTGTACTAAATCAAATATGTAATCATTCATCTTTAATTATTGAGGTTGAGTTTTATTATTCATTAAGTCTCATCTGAGAAGGGAAGTCTTCCACTTGTTTTACTTATTACAAAGTGCAAGAATTAACCTTGTTATGTTTGATTATTAGAATATCTAACGTTCATTATTGATGAAATTAACTATTAACAACAATGCTGCCTGTCCTTAGCAATTTATCATAGCTTGGTTCCACACAGTTTCAGAAGGCAAACAACAGTACTGATACTAATTAATTATTAACAAAAATGCTGCCTGTCCTTTGCAATGTATTTTAGCTTGGCTTTACAAGGGTTCAGAGACAGGCAACAGTACTGATAGTAATTAATTATTAAGAACAATATTGCCTGTCCTTTGTAATATACAGTAGTCAACATTTGCTAAGGATCATGTTTTATTTTGAGTATATGACAAATACCTACCATAATGGTATGTACAGATTGAACATTTTAGGAAGAAATATACCTGGGTAAGTCATTTTTACACCTTATTATATTCTGTAACATTTAACTTGGATAACAGAGTGAGGAAGTGATGCACCCTGTGGTACAATGTTGACAAGAAAACTTTTAAAATCAACAGTCATTGAAAGAAGTGTCCAATTAATAGCCAAGTTAATTTCAGTAGTCTGTGTGACCACCTTGAGCATTAATGATTGCTGCATAACGTTAGCGCATGCTCATGATCAGATTAGCCAATTGTTCTTGCAGAATCTGTTTCCATTCTGCAATAAGGGCAGCTTCATGGTCCTGGAGCATTCTTTTTGGGGTTTGATGAGCTTGTAGCCTTGTCTGTAGCTGCTCCCAAATGTGCTCTATTGGGTTGAAGTCAGGAGACCTTACTGGCCACTTCATCCTTCAGCTTCCAGGAAGGCAGTCACCTCTGCACGGTGTGGATGAGCATTGTCATCCATAAGCAAGAAGTCTGGCCATGTTGCACCTGCATATGGATGAACAATGGGTACAAGGATCTCATCTCTTTATCTTAGGCTGGTGAGATTTCCATCTCAGATGATTACAAGGTCAGTAATGGTGAAGGAAGGGGAAGACTAACAACTCCACAACAAGACCACTACTTAACCATCCAGGCTCGAAAGAATCACTTTGCTCTAGCTCTTAATCACCGTAACTCCCTCCAAGATGCCACAGGAGTCCGAATGTCTCCACACAGACAGTGCACAGATGTCTTCAAGAAGCTCAGTTGAGGGCTAGACATCCTGCTGTTCATGTTCCTTTAAGCACAAGTAGGCACCACTGCAGTGGACTAGAGAACACAGGAGGTGGACTGTGCAACAATGGAGGGTCGTACTCTGACAAGTCCCGCTACTGTGTTGACTTTCTTGACAGTCGCAGGAGAGTTTAGGGATGCCCTGGTTAGTGCAATTTGCCTCAGAATGTCATCAAAAATGATCAGTCATGGTGTAGGGAGGCATATCACATGGCAGGCGTAATCTGCCCTCTGAACCCTTGTAGAACCAAACTATAATACAGTAGTCAACATTTGCTATGGATCATGTTTTTACATAATAGGTAAACTAATGTTAGTAAAGTTAAGTTCTAAAAAAAGACATTATCTGGACATTGTCTGCCATGTGCAAACTTTCTACCTGGGTGACTTGGATTGGATCCTGGCTTTGTTTTCTTATCATACCACCAAATAGAAAGTTCGTTACTTTGAGATCACTGATCGCTACATGATAAAATTGGTCTGATTGAGATTATGCAGTGCAGAAAATGCCTCATTTAGGTCAAAGGCATGACTCAATGCAGGATTGCTGCTGCTCTTGGCACATCCCAGAGTGTGGTGTCCAGGGCCTGGAACAGGTTCAGACGGTTTGGCAGAGTTAATAGGAGACCAATACTAATACTAATTAATTATAAACAACAATGCTGTGTGTTCTTGGCAGTATAGTAGGCTACTTTGTGGTAAGAAAGGACATTAAAAACACTTAATACTAACTTAATTGCTACATGGGAAAGGGCATTTTTTTTTTCCAGATTGTCAGAAATGTAATTATATTATTTTGTCTTTTGTACGTTATACAAAGTACATTTTTAGTTTGAAGTACAGCTTCCATTTTTTAAGTTTTAAAATTAGTAAGCTAGAAAGCATTATCAGACATAATATTTTATATATCCTTTTAAGTTTAAAGGGGATGGAATTTTATTTATTTTGATAACTTTTGTGTTTTTCAGTTAATGCAGACTCATAGTGATCAAGAAAGTTGTAGCATCACTGAACAACAGAGGAATGAAGAGGGCACTAGTGAGATAGCACAAAGATATAAAGATGAGGAAGTGAACATTCTCACAAAGTACATCCAGTCTATTAATGACATGCAACCTTTAAAAGAAAGCAAGGAAAAGTATTTGAATGATAGTTCAAGTGCATCACTGCAAACCTTAGAAGCTTCTGATGAAAGATCCAAAGTGCCAGAAATAAATTATTGTACTGTTAGTTCAAATAGAAAGTCCTTTAACTCCCTTGAAACTGGCAAGAATGTAGGTTTGGGTATTTCTTCAAATCATGACAAAGAATGCCTGCTACGCAGATCTGTCTCAGAGCCTCTTGCTGATCCTGGACAAGAAAGTACAAACAATCAGGTAATGTCCTTTGGTGCTAATGTAAGCTTAATCAGAAACAAAACTATACATTCATAGAAGATAAGTGTGTCAAGAAACTATGGAATTAAAAAATAGAGAATTATAAAGTATGGTGGCCCTTAGTCTTCATTTTAGTGTCTCATTGGTGGTAATCATGTGTAAGTAAAACTTATAAATAAGTTGAAATTACAACGGTAAAAACTTCAAAAACAACTGAAAGTGTCAGCCCAAAATATGTACAACTGACATAATAGCTAGAACTAGTTTAATTTTAGAATGTAACACTTCATAACAGTTCTCTAGGGAAAGAAATTACAGTTGATGTAAATGTTAGTTACAAAATTTTGTGATAATATTGCAGTTTCAAATTACCACCATAGATAATGGTATCATCAATGATTAACTGAAAATCATGCCCTTATCTAAATTCAAATATTTTTTAAACAACTTTAGACATTGTAACACCTTTAGCCAACTATAAAGAATGTGACTGATGATACACCTAGCAGTGTGAAATATATAATCAGTTAACCCTATGAAATTCTTATGGGGTCCATCAGGTCTTTAAACACTTATTTTCTAAACTATTTATGCACCAAATTACATGGTTTCTAAAAATATATGAGTTACACATAAATAATTACACAATAATACCATCAATATTCTTACCAATATTAATACTATCATTTTCTTTCTGCCCTCTAAGCATTGCTAAAAATGTTTTTAATGCTCAGCGTACCAGCCAGACTATATACCACACCAATTTCATACCACTATTGAACATGTACATAGCATGTGACTACACTCCACCAATAGTATTGATCCACCTATAATGCGGCAGCTAGTTCCCTCTGCTATTCCTGCTCAATACTCATTTTCAAGAATTTGCAGGATCTAATAGAATAACACCATCAGTGGGGAGGAAGGGTGGGAAATGTGCGAGAGAGGCAAGTACCTATCGGACATACATTTTCAGTGTAAGAAAATGTTAACTTCTGATACAGTCTTACCTTTTCTCACACAAAACTAGAATCTTACACTGCAAAGGTGGAGGGACTGGTGTAGGTGCACAACACTGAAACCAAGCAGAAAGTGACTGTCCAGAATGAATAGGTATGCTCTGAGATAAACTGAAGAACACATGTGGGGTACAACACTACTTTTGGAACAGGTATGCCCTTCACCCTAGAAGAACAAAATGAACCTGATACAGGTGGAAAAAAAGGATGTTCACAAGTGTAATTTGTTCTGAGAGGTGCAATCCATAATAAAAAAATAGCAAAAACACCTGATGTAGCTATGATGATACCCAACCTCATTGAGGTTTCACAACTCATCCCTGGCATTAGGAGGTTGAGCATAAATCAGATAAAAACGAATATAGAGTAACATAAACATTGTGGCTCGGGCATGTGGACCGTATTACATATACACATGAATCCCAACTGAAAGTAAATAGAGTGTCATACATCAAGCAACTGAAATCCCAAAGAGGAAGTTGGAATGCAGCCAAAACTGGACAAACTTCGAAAACCACCATACGAGCCAGAAGTACAACAGTGTTATGGGGTCTCATCGTTGCCTCAACTCAACTGTAGGAACAGGGCAATATCTGTAACCACTGTTAACCCCTTCTTAGTGCGAGCCCCTTTAAATGCTTTTCTGCACAAGTCACTGTGTTACATTCAAAATTTAATTAAACACCTTTAATATCAATGTTTGTGAATGTATTTAATATTATAATGTGTTATTATTTCAAGTTATAAGTCCTTTATTACAAAATAGAACTTTAAAAAACTGCTTAAAACTTCAGATGTATTGTCATGTGACCAACGAGCTATGAAAAGTCTCTGCTTTTGCTCTCTGTATCTTAAATAATACAATGGTAATTGAGTAGAGATAGGTCTAGCCACTAAGATGCTTACACAACCTTTTGACTCATTCTTTTCAAAGTACTCTGAATGAATACAGTTGAAACAAGTAATAATTTTTTTTCAACCTTTGCCAGACATACCTTCAACAGATTTATTTGAGCTTTATTGCTTCCATGTAGATGTTACATACACATGTATATATAACTATTAGAAAGAGCTCATTTTACAGTATAAACTAACAATGATTATTTTGAAATTAGTACCAAATCTTCATCACCGAGTACATAGTATTGTTGGCTGCTTGATCGACTATATCATTTATGGATGTTTCTTACCTAAATATGTTATAGTTAGAGATACAGTTTAAATTGTATTTAGGTCTTACTAGTATATTTTAGTTGATTATGTATTAGTTATTTTTTAAATGCATAATTAAAAGCTTTAAACATTTTTAGATATATATCATACTTTGCATCCATTCTGAAGGCTTACAAATATTATGCCCTCTTCTCACTGAATGGATATATGGAAAGTTAAAAGTCTACAACACACTCAGGAGGAAGTCTCCATGGTCCACTACTCCAGTAACTTGGAAGTGATAAAGACTTCCTTGGTCCACTCGAAGAAAAAAGGGGGAAGTATGTGCAGTGGAGAGTCAAGAGGAATGTCACACTGGAGAAATTGCAATGGGTGTTTACAATTTCCTAAAGCAGACCATCCCCAATTTATTCAATCAATGGGTGAGCAACGACGGGCAGAAATCCCCTTCTGCTTTATTCATGAAAGTTCATGAGTTATGGTCCACAACTGAGTAAAACTGATGGATATTGAGAAAGATATGTATATACCACATCTCTACAATGAGTATTATAGCATTATCAGTAAATAGTGTAGGTTTAAAGGAAATCATACCTGACCAGGCAACACCATTAGCACTGACAAAAAAAGAGGGTCTCTAAAAAAAGAAAACATAAATGAAATTATGTGATAAGACTTACCCCAGTCAAAAGTGAATGGATGAGTGTAGAATCTCCATGGGAGGGAGACAATATCCACCTGAGGAAGATACGACCAGATCATGCAGATATTGGGGGTAGTCCACATTCTGGCCTGAACAATTTCCTTCAAAGGATGGCGAAGGGAAGAAGCCAAAGACATAGTGATATGATGAATTTGACAACAAGAAACAAGAAGTCAGAGTACTCCAGCCTGACAAGTTGATGAACCCAACCAGTTAGTGTGACAGGGGATAAATCATGGGAAACAAATGGATTCCAGGGAAGAAATAGTCAGGAACGTGAAGCCCGAAAGGAGGCAGTACGTGCCACATTACACTGTAAGGAGCAAACTGGACAAAGAAATCAATATGGAGCAGAATGGGAGTACATTTGGGAGATGAAAGGTAAAGAAATGGGTGTGAAAGCCAAACAGCCTTCACTGGCAGCATAGATCTTAGGAAGGAAGGACTGGTCTAGATATAGGATGCCATAAGTGGAATGTTAGAGGAATCGGGTAACATTAATGGCATAAATATCTGATTGATAACATCTGTAAGCATAAAGGAAATAGATCTTGAGGGAGAGATGGTATATGGAACACATAGAAAAAGGTTCAAATGGAGGTCAGGAAAAGGCATAAAGGACCACATTGAGATCCCAATATAGCATTTCAAAGGAATGTGGAAAAGCACGACCTGAAAGGGGAAGACAAAACCTTACAAAACTTGGAGAAATGGAAACTGTTCGACAGTTCCACCCGATAGCTAAACAAGTCATAGTGGACAAGCCTTTGTTAAACATCCAGGTGAACAATTGGGAAAGATGAGGAATGAAAGGTGTGGGAAGGATGGGAAGAATGGAAACCATGTCAAACAGACCAAAGGGGAAAGGTAGACCATCTTCTCTTGTAAATGGACATGAAAGAAGGTTGTATTTATCTGGAAAGGAAAGATGCAAAATGTGGAGTCAGTCCCTGAGCTGAGGCAATAGACCTGACAAAAGCCATGCATGAAAACAGAGGGTGGTGATGTCTGGATGAATGAAGTGCAACTGAAGTTGATGGAGCAGAGACCAAGATAGAGGTAAGGGTAGGAAAGGTTTTACAAGTAAAGGTCGGAGCAGAAGGAACCAGAGTTGCATCAGCCAAAATGGAAACCACCAGCAAGAGGACTAGACATGGAGTGGTTTGGTTTAAGGATAGAATTATGGGGAGGAGTCAAATTGGAGGGTAAGAACAGGTGTAATGACCCCTCCAATCTTGATTGAATGTATCCACTTCCAGAGCTAGCAGGTGTGGAATGGAAGAACAAAAGGAAGGAGGTTTGTTTTACCAGTGATTGGCAAAAAGCATCAATATGAGGAGTTCCCACTTGAGAGCACACCCACTAAAAAAACCTGTGGATTGATGGACCACACCATGGGGAGAATCTTATTGGGTTGATATAAATAATCCTCAATTAGATTCAGGAACATGGCAAGCTAAGACCACTATGTGGTGACTGTTGCCAGAAAAGGAGATCCAAGGTCTGAAAGCACAGAGACCTAGATTTGGTACCCCCTTGCTTGGTGATATAAGTAACAACTGTGGAATTGTCAGAGTGTACCATACCCACCAGGAGAGGAAGATAGTGGGACAAAGCTTGATGAACCGCCATAAGTTTAAAAATGTTGATATGGATAGAAGACTCCTCAACTGACCAGATACTGGAAATCTTCAGAAAGTCGAGGTAAGCATCCCAACACTCTAAAGATGTGTCTGTGAACAGATGTAAATCTGGACAAGGTGGAGGAAGTTGAACCCCTGCCGTGGTCTGGTCCCTGTCTAGCCACCAAGCCATGTAGGCCCTGATTGGGGAAGGAAAGGGAACAGGGTGGTCCAAGAGATCTGAATAGAAGTTCCACTGATTAAAGAGTGTCCACTGAACAGAATGAGTATGAGCTCTCCCCATGAGAATGAGAGCATTCAAGGAAGCCCACATCCCAAAACAAGATAGAACCTCTTGAGCTGCGAGAGAATGTGGGGTGAGGGCCTTGTGGACTGCTTGCTCTATTATCTTTGAAGATGAAGAGGAGAAAGCTGGGTTCAAATGAAGTTGAAATTGAAGAAAACTATCAAATTAATAAGTTATTGAGTGGGGGTAAGAATAGACTTGTCCACCTTTATCAGGAATACCACCTGTGTCACTTCTTGGAGGAGCAGATGAGTGTGATCTCTGGACTGTGAATGGAAAGAAAGGGAGGTAGGGATCAGAACTGAAGGCAGAGACCTACCGACAGAACCTGTAGGACTTGCAAATCTGTCGTGAAATGCTGCCACATGGCAGAAAAGTGGAGCAATCTTTCCCCCACCAATCTAGTAACCTTCATAGTATCACCTATGATGCTTGCATTGGTCAGCCCAGGTGCACGAATAATGAGGATTAGGGTCAGGAGCACCAAGAAGAAAGCAAGGGCCTGGGTGAGGAAGAAGGATGAAAAGGTGACTTATGGAAGTAAGATGGAGGGTGAGATAAATATGTGGCCAGAGAAGACAAGGAAGAATGCAATCTAGCCACATCAATTCTGGATTTCAAGGGTTCAGGACGACCCCCAAATATAGTATTGGGTAGGAAAGGGCCTGACATAGATCCTACATACCTTATCAACAAGCTGTATAAAAGGGGTGGAAGACAAAATCTCCTGAAATAAGATGTCGGAAAAAGAGAGTCCAAGTTGTATGTTCTTTGATTTTATTCTTTCTGAGAAACATCATCAGATTGAAAAGGAGAAGAAAACATGTGAATCTAGCTCCCTGTGAATTAAAGCCTGTACTTCCTCTGCCAGGAAGTCATACCAGTAGCATTATCGACTGTTACGGGAACTTCTGTATTCGATACATTACACCTCGATTTCATACTAAGTTCACTTAGAATTCAACAACAAAAAACAATTGCAAAATAAAATTGTTAAAACAATTGAATGTAAACACTAATTGAAAACTGTTGAACAGAAGAAACATTTTGAAAATGGCAAAGAAGCTCAATCAGAAATGGTAGCCACACAGGAAAAAAAACACGTCTAAATGACATAGCACCAATTGAGAAAGTGAGGATTGAGAAGGAATAGCAGAGGAAGCTAGCTGTGCCAATATAGGTGGCACAGTACTATTGGTGGAGAACAGTCAATTGCTATGAGCATGTTCAGTAATGGCATAAAACTGGTGGGGTATATAGACTGTTGCACTAAGTGTGAAAATCTTTTTAGAAATGCTTAAAGGGCAAAAAAGAAGAAGAAATCGAGATAGCCTTGCGTGAGAGGAGGAGGTAAGACTGTATTGGAATAACTCTGTTAATTTCTGCTTGGGTTCTCTTATGTATTTTACATAGAAAACTGGCCAAATGAAACTGATTTCACTCAGTTTCATTTGGCCAATTTTTTACACTGAGTTTTTAACAGGAAAAAGCAAAATGATTCCATGTAATTCAACATATGGACCCCACTGGTGGTGAACAGTATAAAAACAAGTTAATTTTAGGTTTAAAATAGTTGAGAATTTATAATTTACCACAGTGAGAAAATCAATAAAATAAAATTATACCCTTAAAACTGCAGAGAGGTTTAGATATTTACCTTATTGGAATTAATGACCAAATTATTAAAAGCCTGACCCTTTTCAAGTTTTTATCATAACATCTAGTGTAGTAAAAATTACACACTATACTTTGAACTGTAGTGACTTGCTTCATCACTATAAAATTTGTTTTAGCTACTGTCAGGAGCATACAGTCTTGAGTCACTCAAGTTTGGAGAGGCACAGAGTGAAGACCTGGAACAAGAAATGGAAAAAACCATGCAGGTGAATTTGTCAAGAGCTGGAAGACGCCTATCAGAATGGGACAAGATGAGTAGCAGTAGCATAAGTGAAGTATCACTGGCATGTCTACAGGATCGGATTATTCAGATGGAAGAAACACAGTACAGGTAAATACAAAAAATATAGTGGGAGCTCACTGGCTTGTTTAGAAGACTGGGTCAATCAGATGGAAAAACCACAATGCAGGTAAATATAAGACAGTAGGGGCCTCACTGGTTTATTTAGAAGACTGGATCATTCAGAGAGACAAAACACAGTATAAGTAAATGTAAGAAAGTTGAGTCTCTTTAGCTTGTTCAGAAGACTGGATTATTCAGATGGAAGAAACAGAGTGCAGGTAAATGTAAGAAAGTGAACTCTCTTGGGTTTGTTTAGAAGACTGGGTCATTCAGATGGAAGAAACAGAATACAGGTAAATGTGAGAAAGAAAGTGGGTTCTTCATGATTTGTATAAAAGATTAGATTCAGATGGAAGGTATGTAATAAGATTGAATCATTCAGGTGGAAGAAACATTTAGTTCAGGTAATTGTACAATAAAACAAAAGGCTTCGTGGTTTTTCTCCAGTAAAAAGAAAAATTATATAAATAAGCAAGGACAGATAGGATGGCTACAGTGTTACTTGAAGCTTATAATTTGTGTTGTGTTTTATAAGTAAGTTATACTCTGTTCTTTTTTTAATGCTACTTTCATTGACATTGAATCTTTAATAGATCTGTTTTTATTATTATACTTTTATTATAGATTATGTTGCATTTTTAACTTAATATATGGATTTAGGACTAACCTAAACTTCATGAGATATTATTGGGTATAAGTCCAAAAGTATCATTAGCACTTAAAGTACCTGACTGAAGAAACAATGAATTCTAATCTATATATTTAAGAATAGCATATGAAACTAACTATGCTCATTAACAGGTTAATATTAATTTTATTTTTTAAGTAGCTTTCTTTCTCTGATCAGAAGTTAATATCAAATGATTCCCAATACTATATTAGTGAAGGAACTTAATGTATTTCTTCATTTTAACTGTCATTAATGTGCATACAGTTATATTCATGTTTAGTAATCATTGCTTTTATGGACATTTCCAGTTGATAAAAACAAAGTTGTCAGTGTTTCTCTAAACATGCATGTTTTAATCAAATGGGGATTTGTATATTACTGAGCTAAAATGTTCTCAATATGGTATTCTGTAGTAATAGCAAATGGCCCAAATAAATCATGTTTAAAATTAAAATCAACTGGGCGTTATACAAATGGATGATATAATTAAAAAAATATGAAAAAAAAAGGACTTTTTATGTGGTAGCTTATGGTTTTATTACAAACTGCAGTAGATTTAGTCAGGGAAGAGTTCTGTAATAAACAAGAGAAAAATATTGATTATGACCAGCTTTATAAGTTGTACCTTACAAATAATTTTTACAGGTTAGGGTGTAACATAATGACAATTCTGATCTTGATTTGGTATTGTACAGGATATAATGTAACAATCACAATTCTGGTCTAGCAGATGCTCATCCCAATCAAACTGTACAGTGATGTACACGAAATGCTGTAACAATTAAGATTCTGTCTTGGTTCATATCATACAGGGTAAGGTGTAACATTCACAAATTTGGTCTTGGTTGGGTATTGTAGAGGGTGGAGTGTAACATTCATGGTTCTGGTTTTTCTTAAGTACCAGCGAAGAGCTTCAGGCAACCCTACAGGAACTGACTGATCTTCAAGAACAAGTAAGGGAACTGCAGGTAGAAAATGAACATTTAAGGGATGAGAAGGGTGTCCTACTTGAGTCGTTATGCTCACAGACTGAGAAGCTGGAAGAGTGTCGAGAACAGATTTGTCACCTGAAACAGCTCTTGTTTGAAAAATATGATGATCCTTCTCTGGAAGTTACAGAGAGAGAGGAGAACTTAGTACATCTGCTGAAGGTAAACAATTATATGTTTTCTTTAAAAATGACTTATTTTTTCCTTTATTTTCAATTTCAGTCTAACAAGTATTCACCTCCTGTCTTGGAGTTGTCTTCACACCAAGCTTAGGGAGAAAAAAAACAATTATATTTAATTGATACTATTATATAATATTTAAAATTTTTCATTCTAGCTGTTTGAAATAAAATAATACAGAATTTATATATTAAACCATCTTAGATATCTAGATTTTTGCTACATTATTTTTAATTATATATAGCAAGGTAATGGAACTTAATACAAACAAACACCTGGAGAATGGTTGTAACATGATGTTACACTGTCCAATTCAGTAATAATTTCAGTGGATTTGACAAACCACCTCAAGTTATTTATATCCATTTAAATTTCTTCATCAAAAGGTTTTTTTTTTTTAGAATTTCTCCATAACAAAACCTGATTTATCTTGCTCAGTCATAAATTGTCAGCACACAAGTCACACTGGATCAGCATACACATACTGAATTTGTGTAGATAGAATTTTTAGAGAAATTCTATATTTCAGGCAGTACACAGTGAACATAAACTTCTGAGTTTCAGTCATGGAGAACTATCCAGTACCATGCAGACAGTCAATCAAGGAGCATTGGAGCAAGAGAAAGAGCTCCTGATGTTGGAGAACCATGTGGAGATCCTCAAGTCTACAGTAGAAAGTCTAACAGCCAAGAAGAAGTTACTTGAGGACCAACTGTCAGAGGATAAGGAGCTTATTTCTAATCATCAGATTGAAGTATTGCAACTGAAACTACAGCTACAGAATGAGCAACAAAGGGTATGTATTGTACTTAAATAAAATTAGAGTAAACCATAAATTACTTGAAGGTGAAACTACTTTATGCTGTAGATCAGAATGCTGGTACACATTTGATAGGTTGATATTATGTTAATACTCTGGACATTAAGTTGCTGGCAATAATCATTAGTAGAGATCTGATCCTACAGCACATGAAGCAGCAGACTTGACTATGATACATTAGAGATACTGAGCATTTAAAGAACTGGAAAAAATGTGCTTCAAAGTCAAGGAAATAGTTATAAGGTTACATATAACATTACAAAAGTAAATCTTTGCTCTACTTAAAAACAAACTTAAATTAAAATAAGCCATTTAGGTTAACTTTGTAACAAACAAAACTTAAATAAAAAATACAGCTAATTTTACTTCCATTTTTCCCCTAGGTGCAAGAACTCCATCAAGAGCGAGAAGCCCAGGCAACCTCAGAATTAGAAGTGATGCTTCAAGATGCTCGAGCAGACAAGGAAAAGGAAGAGGGAAAGGTTATGAGGCTCCAAGAGCAGTTAGCACTTGGCCAATGGGAGGTTGCTCGATTAAAAGACCAACTCATTCAGTCACAGGAGGAAATCATGGTAGACTAAAATGAAAACTTAGTCCACAGAAACATTTGGTGGATTTGTAGCTTAATAATAAGTTGATAATAAATTTTAAAAATGTCTTTTGTTTGTTACAAAATGAAAAAACATTTATTTGTATATATATTTTTTTAAAACCTTAAAAAAGTTGTAGAGAGGGTTTTGTATGTTGCATCACAATGGTTTTAAATACACATATCAGCAAGTCACATGATGAACACAGCCAATATAAAGTCACAATAGAATCAAATGTTTAAGAACTACATTTTGACAATGTTTGGTGTTTCATAAGTAATGTGATGCCACTAAAAATTATCACTTTTGAGAAGGGAAAGTAACAGCCATTTACAACATAATATTTATACATTTAGATCATGAACATAAGTTTAGGTCAGGAATTTAGAATTTCTAAGACATGGATATCCATTATATTTAATGTATTGGAAAAAAAAAGGAATACAGATCAACATGGACCATCAGAACAATCCAGAAAGAGACCTACAAGTCATACCCCAGCCATGGTAAGCAAAGTGTGACTGCTTCTTATAGGAGAAAATCCAGAACATAAAGGTCAGTGGCAAAAGCTGTCCATGTGTCTCAAATAACAGTACACAACATAATCAAATGGATCTGCATCTGCAAAAGCAACAAGTTACTTACACACAAGTTGGTTTCAGGAAGTATCTGTTCAACCATTGCATACCTCAAGCACCTGGAGAACGAAACGAGTATTCATACTATTCCATACAAATACATACTGGTCAAGTTAATAGATGCAGCACCTATGAATTTCTGAATGATCAAAGTGTTGAAACAAGCACTTGGAAATCATCATCCTTGTACACTAGATAAATTAAAGAAAGTAAGCAGGGAGGTGTGGTATATTTTGTGAATGAAAATTTTACAATAGAGCCTTTTGCAATGGAAATTACACTGGTGGCTATTGATAAGATGCACAGTTGTCAAATAGGGCAAGACTGGATATGAAAATATGAATTTGTAACAGGGTGAAGCTCCAAAATCATTTTAGTATAACATACACAACCTCTGTAAAAGTGCCACTTTTTTACACATTATTCACTTGAACTTCACTGAATATACTGGAAATGTTTTTCTTCTCTGTTTAACACCCAGTCAATGAGGCCAAATTTGGGAGAGTGAGTGGACTACTAATGGGTGTCACAGTTTCCTGTATTCAAGTTACAACCAAAACAAAATGCACTTTTATAAAGACTGAGCCATTGTTAACCTTAAAAAAACACACACTTTACTGCTAAAACTCGTTTCTCAATAATAATCAGCCATGATGATGCCTGTGTTCTTGCACAAATTAGCAGCAACATTCAAGTTTAGGCGGGTATAGCACCTAGCCATCTTATAGTGGCAAATAAGCTTTGTTGAGCCATTCTTGGTCATCTTTACTGTTAGAACTCATGAAAACAAGAGAGAGAAAACAACTTTATAGAGCTGAGAAACCAGATCTCGTATTACTTAACGTGTGGCCATTACCACGTTTGCATGGGATTTTAGATTAGGATATGGGTTTCACTCCCTCATTATCATAGCCTGGAAACTAGTAGAAATTTAGCCATGGTAATGGGCAATTCAGATTCCATATATATATATATATATATGTAGTAATAATTCAAATCAGTGATCAGAATATGAAAAAAAGGTGAGTATTGGGAAGCTTTGTCTCCCTGACTCACAGACTGGGTGTTAAAAGTTTCATAATTATTCTTCTGGTACATTTTAAAATACTATTTAACTACCTTATAGAATTTTAGGTGATGTTGTCCTATTAACTTAATACAATGCTGAAAAGCTACAACTTATTATAATTTTAAATATATCTAAATTTACATAAATACTTACTATGTTCAAATAGTAAAGAAAAGTTTTTATTTACTATTGTAAAATGCTGAGAATCAGACTGTGTATCCTTAAAAACAGATATTTTATAACATTATAGAGTATAAAAATAGTCACTATATAAAACAACTTTTGTGAAACTCTTGACTACATATGCTCATTGGCTCTCTATTTTGTTAGTTTTGGACATTAAAATGCTGTCTGTTTAATAGTTCACACACACACACACACACATACATACACACACACACACACACACACACACACACACACACACATATATATATATATCTGTCTTATTTTTTGAACAAAAACGTAATCAAGGCTTATCCTCTTTAGGTGGTAAAGAACAATGCTAAAACCCAAATGTCAGACTTTCAGTACAAGCTACAAATCTTGGAGGCAAACAAAGAGGTTTTGGAGAGAGAGGCAGCTCTTCTTCAAGATGCTCTTCAACAGGCTGAAATGAAATATCAGCAACATCTGGAGAATGAACGTGAACTCACAACAACAATTGAAGAGTTACAGAAGTCTTTTGGTGACACAACAATGCAATTACAGGACACCCAGAAGGAACTAGAGTGTACTCTACAGAAGCATGCACTGCAGGTATGTTTATATATTTCTCAATACTTTTAATAAACATACCTATCTCACATTGCACATTAAAAACAACCATTTTAAAGTTCCTCTTACCTTTTTCTCTTTAGTCCCAACAAATTGTAGCTGCAAGTCATATCTTGGTGATGTAAATGTTACATTTCAAAATCATTAGATATTGTTGCTTTTTTTAACTCTTTTCACCATGGGCTCAATCCCTGAGACCGACCTCGTAACCATTTTGTGTTTGTTATAGTTTTCATGCTATAACTTTTAATTTGTAAGCATATGTTAACAAAATTTGATAGATTATTAGTAAACATTACAATGCTTTCATACACACAATATCAAATTTTTCTATTAAGTCTTAAGGTTTGTTAAGCAATGTTTTTTTAATGCCTTTTTTTTTCTTTTCATATGTTGCCTATCCCAACAGGCAAAGCAATTTTCATTTTAAGATTAAAAATACTTATATGCATCAGACAATTTTCAAATTTCACATGCAAAATCTTATAACGTCCAGATAGTTATTAAATGTTTCTTAAGAAAAAACTACTAAACACAAATGTTTAGACTAAGTAGCTTAAGTCTCATCACATTATACAGTTATATATATTTATTATATTGACCTTTCAGCCTTGGCTATATTTTAGTATGCTAGTATTTGTAAAATACAGTCACATTTCCATTATTATACATTATATATGTATATAGATTATTACTATTTAGAAATAAGTTCTTAAATGTATTTTCTCAAAACAGAACAGTAACCAAAGAAGTGAAGCAAACAATTATCTCTTCTTGTTACAACCTTTGTATTGGTTTGCTACTTGTCATAGGTTGCTAAGCCTTTTAAAATTTTGCACAT